AAAAAAAAAAAAAAAAAAAAAAAAAAAAAAAATTTACATTTCAATTTTTGGTTGCATTGAAGTACACACTTCACAGTGTAATTCTTAAAACTTTTGCTTGAATAACAGTTCAATTCGCATGCAATGCTGAGGTTGGTATTGAATGTATAGAATTAAATACCTTATGTTTTAGGCGTTTAGTCCTTAAATTGTGGATTATAACCTATATTTGAGTGCTAACTTCCCCTTCTAGCTGCTTTTTCTTCCTTTTGAAGAACTATTTCATGCTTAAATTCTAATTTTATGCAGACTTTAAAAAAAATACTGAATTTATATATTCAAATGTGTCTTAGCATTTAAAATAGTCCTCATAGAAGACTATATAAACTTTTATTCAGAAAAAAAAAATCTGTGAAGCCCTTACTATGGTAGCCATCACAGTAGGCACTGCAGAAAGAGTCAGGTAGTACTCTGCTGAAAGAGTAAGACCCATTACCAAGATTTACAGTGCAGAGGTTAGGATCAGTAATAAGAAGTGTGAGGTACAGTGGTAGTCCAGGGAAGGGTGAGAGGTGGCCAGCCACATAAACTTCTTTTTCGTATTCAGATGAAATTTTACTATTGTTTAAAAAAAAAAAAAAGAAACAAGGAAAAGAGAAAACTTTTAGGTTCATCTTAAAATTTCCTTCAGGGATGGGCCGGCCCCGTGGCGCACTTGCCACATAAACTTCTTTTTCGTATTCAGATGAAATTTTACTATTGTTTAAAAAAAAAAAAAAAGAAACAAGGAAAAGAGAAAACTTTTAGGTTCATCTTAAAATTTCCTTCAGGGATGGGCCGGCCCCGTGGCGCACTCGGGAGAGCGCCGCTCCCGCCGCAGGTTCGGATCCTATATAGGAATGGCCGGTGCGCTCACTGGCTGAGCACTGGTCACGAAAAAGACAAAAGAAAAAAAAAATTTTCCTTCAGGGATAAGCAGTCTCTAAGGTTTAGTACCATCTTCTCCTCAGTCTCCTCTGCCTGCTCTGTTGAACACCTTCCTTCAGTTTCTTCTTGCTCTGTATTTGAGCCAATAGCCTGAGGAGCTCGGTGAGGTGTGGGTGGCCTCTTCCCAGGCAGGAAGCCAATGGAACCCTTATAGGGAAGTATACTTTTTAACCCCGTTTGTATACCGCCCGCCTTCTGTAGTGCTATAAATAGATAACTTGGTTGTGATTGCTCTAATCCTTTCCTTTGTGAAGAAAAAGCAAGCTGTTCCCTTCCAAGGCCCCATCTCTACATTTTGCCCTCTGACTTGGACCACAACTTAAATAGCATTACATGGACTCAACTTACTTGAAAAGGAACATATGGTAGGGAATGGTATGTGAAATGTGGTCCTATTATACTTGAAAAATCCATCGTTTAGATTGTAGATTTCAGAAAAAATTTGTTTGATCTGTAGGAATTTTTTTATGAGCTGTTGTTTTTAATGATGTGATTTTACCCCTCAAAAGGGATTGGATTAGTTCTTTTTGGGTATTTGTTGAAAAGCAGCTTTCCTTTGTTTATTTTAAACAGTATCTCACACCTACACACACTTAATTTTGTTGTGAATTACAACATAGTACAGAAACATGCACAAAACAAAGATGTATAGCTGAGTTGTTTATCACAGCCAACACCCATGGAACTGTACAAGGGGGCTTCAGGAAGTTTGCAGAAAAATAGAATTTAAAGATAATACAAATCTTTTCCTGAACTTTTTGAAGTCTTCTTATACAAGTCTTTTCATACTTTAAGTACTATCTGTTCTAAAACTGCTTTCGTTTTCTACTGATTTAATATAACATGATGTTTGTACGTATTCTGTTAAAGAATCTGTCATAATTCAAACTTTAGTTCTATCCTTTCTAATACATTTTGACCTTTTATTGTGACAGCCTTGCAAAATTAGCTCCTATAACCAATAACAAATATTACGTGAATGTAACAAACTCCTTTACTGAATAAGGAATGTCCTGTTTCTAAATGACAATATTATCATTTTCTTATGTTCTGAATACTTGTTTCTTCTTTACAAAGTAAAAGTTAGTTTATTCTTTGTATACATAAACTACTCTGTTCAAAAATAAAGCTGCCTTACATTTGTAGTTTTGCAGTAAAAATTCTCTGGATCTATGTTTTAAAAATTTACAACCTCAGCATTGATTACTCCTGAACAGTTATATTTCTTCAAGTATGTATAGCCATTGACATTGCTTTTTACACCGCGTTTTCTTTCCCCTCTCCATTATTACACAAGTAAAATGAATACATTCTGATTACTAAAGATAGAGTATACTAGCTAAATGTGAAAATGTCGCTCTGTCCACCCCCACACCCAAACTCCCTACTTCAGAGGTAACTTTGTTAATTGGCCATCATTTCAGTTCCCTCTCTATACATGTATATGCATATGTTTTTTACATAGGTGCCTGATATTTTGATTGTTTTATACTCTACGTTTTTATATTCTACACTGTGTTCTGTGACTTTTTTCTTTTTTTACTCAACATTATTAAATACGTTCACAGGAAAAGATAAATACTTACTTTTTCTCCCTTTAATTACCAATTTTCAGTGCTGCTGTCCTTGAAACCTCCAAAGTTGATGAGCGATTTTTTTTAAATGAATTCAGTGTATGTGAAAGTATGAAACTTATTTTGATTTACACATATGATTTTTTTATATATTTGTGTTTTGTTTTAGTCATTATTCTTTTTGGTGTTCAAATTATTCCATCTTTGGCTAGTGGGAGCCCCTTCACATTGGCTCTTGAGTCGTCTGACACACCCGTTAGTCTTTGACAGCTCCTTGTTTCTAGGCATAACAAGACAATCCAGGTTTATGTGGCATAATTCCTGTCCCAGATCTGGAATCATTATAGGGGAATGATACTTGGATACCATAACAGCTAATTGACATATGGGGAATTTGGAAATTGCCCTATTGTAACAGGAATTTGTGAAACTATCAGCTTTATAATTGAAACCCTGAACTAGAAATTTTCATGTCTTAGTTTAACATCATAAGACAACATGCATGAAGTGCCAACTTTTATACCCTAGTCATATAGCCATAAAAGGTGGCTCCTCAATAGCTATGTCTGTTTCTCTAAAATTCACTACTAGGTACGCCAAAATCTTTGGTTTTATAATTTAAGAGTTCTCAAAGATCAGACAGTCCATCCTCTTGTTCTTTAAAGAGGGAACTTTGAGATCTGGGAAAGTGATATGATTATAGAGGCAGAGTGTTCATTTCCTGGTCCCAGCCCAGGTCTGGGGCTGTTTGATTTTTTGAAGTATGATTCCTTATGTTTGATTTCTTACAAGTATGATCATTACTGTCTCAGTAGAAGACTTTAAGCCCACAAGGGATATTATGAAAGAAAGGGATGGCTTTTCTGCACCTTTGTGAGAATTTATACCCAGCTATAGATCTTGACACACCGATTGGTTTGATCACCTCAAATTTTTGTTTTGTATTTTGTGATCCAGGTACATTTTCAGGAAATATTTTCCCTTAAAAAAAAATGTACTTACTGAGTTATTTCATGCTGTATTACACTAACTCTCATCTGTATTTTGAAATATTTTCTTTTTCTAAGTTGCTAGTTTAACAGGTACATTTCTGTAATGTCTTTGTCACCCTAAAGTAGAAGCTTTTTATATCATTTTGTGTCTTTTTTTAAAAGGAGAAAATTAGCTTTCCAGCTGAAGGCATAGAGTTGTAGATCATCCACCTACCTTTTCTTCATTGTTTGAAATAGTTTTGTTAGCTTAAAAATTAATCCTTTGTACCTTAGCAATACTGTTACCAACTCTTGGAAACTTTCCCTAACTGTGTACTGTGTCTTCTCCACAGTCCACAAGTATCTTTTGACAGTGAACAGAAATGCTTTATTTTTTTTCTCTTCTACAGAATAAAGATTCTTGGGCTTGGATTTTTAAAAAAATCAAATAAGTTTTATATTTTCACATACTAGAAATACTTAAATTTTATATTACATGAGAACATTTTAATGGAGGAAAAGTAAAATTAGCTTATGAAAGTTTTGTTTTGAAAATTGGCTGAAACTTGAAGGGTTTTATATTAGTTAGACTGATTTTACTATCAAAATATGTCTCTGAACTTTAGCCTAATTTCTGCTATTTGAGCCTCCTTTCATATATTCTGTGCGAAAATTTAGGCTGCAATCTGTGTGATCTGGAGAAATTTTCCTATCCATTATTTAGCTTTTTCTTTATTGCTGATTTTTTTTTTTTCTTTTGCTAGATCTAGGCCAGGGGAAATGCTCTGGTGTTAACCCAAGTGATTTGAGAATGATTTTTTATTTTTCTTAATTTTATTTTGCCGGTATACAGTGTGGGTGATTATTGTGGCCCATTACTGAAACCTCCCTCCCACCTCCCTCTCCCCCCTCCCTCCCAACAATGTCCTTTCTGTTTGCTTGTCGTATCAACTTCAAGGAATTGTAGTTGTTATGTCTTCTCCCCCCCCCCTCCGGTTTA